CACCGATATGAATGGTTTGAGTGTTGTGATGACATTACAGCACACACTGTGCTGTGACCGCAACTGAGGCTCTGCTTGTGTAGTTAGCCTCCAACTGCATTCCCTGTCATAAATCATTCAGATGTGCCTTATATTTTCTCCTACTGTATTTGTTTAACTGTCCACTTATTGTGCTACAAAACACTAAGTTTCACTTACATCAGGGATCTCGAACTCCAGGACTCGAGGGCCGGTGTCCTGCAGATTTTAGATCTCATCGTTGGCCAACACACCTGAATCAAATGTCATGTCAACATGTCATGTCAAAGACATGTTGAGGAAGTCATTTAGCCATTTAAATCTGCTGTGTTGGATCAAGGACACATCTAAAACCTGCAGGACACCGGCCCTCGAGGCCTGGAGTTTGAGACCCCTGACTTACATTTTATATTATGGTCATTTTATTCATAAACCCTGCCAAGACCTTTTTCGTGACTGACAAGTCAAACCAAAAGGAAAAATGCAAAAAACTAAATGGCAACTAAAAACCAACCAACCAAACAAAAAAACACATGGAAACCAGCAACTTATGGCCTCGCAGGATACCATTGCCACCGACATCACTGACACAGACTTTATGGCTTCTAAAACGGGACGGTTATCTCTCATTGCCCTGATGCTAAAAGACATCTTGTGTGCAATGAAGAGCAGCATCTGAAAAATTTACCATTGCACCTGTCCAAGCCTTCTGTCCGAGAAGGGGAGGCAATCAGAAGAAAGTTGGCTTGATGAAGGGAGGTGAAGGGAGTTAAAACAGTATAAGACAAATCAGGGTTTTCAAGAATCTTTTTAAAAATGTAGTTGGAAATGTGCATAATGATTCCCCTTTAAATAATACTTGTATGGTTTTTATTTCCTTTGATCAAAGGAGCCAGAGAGGCATTTTAGAGATGCAACGACACAGTTAGCACAGGTAAAGGGGACTGTGTTTGTAACGTGTGTGCTGCTTCATTCATGTTTTATTCATTTTTTCATCACCATAACTGGTTCAGCATCAGCTCACCAGCCTGCCTTGACCCAAATATTTCAGTGCTCATATTCCTCCCTAATGTTGTCTCTTATGTTTGTGTGTTGAAGATCTCCATGTTCATTCCTGTCATGTGTTTTTGTCCTTTTTTGTTTGTTTGTTTTTCACCCTGTAATTCAGTTCGAATCCACCCGCTCCTCCTCCCCTACCGAATGTTGCCACTTCTCTCCCTGGAGCAGAAAGGTATTGGTCCCTTCCCTCCCTCGCCGTCCTCCTATTCCTAACACCTTATTTCACATGTCCACCCTGACTGACCTCTACTTATCTCTTTTTAAATGCATGCTCTCTCTTTCTGGCAGTAGTAGCCATCCTGCTCCACCCGGTGGAGAGGGTGGGGCGATACTGAAGGCGAGCACCTCTTTAAAGTTTCACCCACACATCACATGTTTACATACTGTTGTTGTTGTTGTTGTTGTTGTTGTTTGAGTTCATATGAAGGGCTCGGAGTATGTGAGGAATGTGTATGTGGGCCACAATCACAGCCGCCCGGGTTTCTCTAATGATAGGGTTGGCTTCTCGAAACTTGCGCCTGTGATTACCCATGATCCCTCTGTGCTGTGGTTTCCCCACTGCACAGCTGACAGCCTCGTGTTTCTCTCTTGATTCTCTTTTCTTTTTTAAACAAGTATCGTGCTTGTTGCCCGTCGTGAGACAGGAATGAGCTTCAAACTCTGCCGCTCCTTTTTTATTTCCTTTCATCCCGTACGTGCCCGCTCTTCCTCCTTTTTCTCAAATCCCTCGTCTCTTTCTCTCAGCCCGCTCATCCCTCCTCTCAAGCACTCCTGAAACCGTTCTCAAAACAAATCAGCTGTAAATGGTCTTCCTTTGATTTTTTTTTCCCCTCCTAGTTGCGAGAAGTTTCCAAGGAAACCAGCTTCTTTTGTGGTCGGGGTTTTGTCAGGGTCTCATTGGTCTGCTGGGAACAGGGAGCACAAAGGCTCGAGGGTTGCCTTTAAATGGGGGTGGGAGGTTGTCGGGTTGTGGAGGTGGGAACCAGTTGAAACTGAGAATCACTCCCAGTTTCACATGTGTCTCTGTGTTGGAATCTCAAGGTAAGAAATTCATTTAGCATGCAGATATAAAGACAAGTGGCTCTGCAGAGTCGGAGGAGGCCCATGGTTGAGGAACGCTGCTGTGAAGTATTTCCTCTCAGAGATTTCTGGACACTTGTTATGATGCAGGAGACCCTCGGAAAAATTTTGGAATGTTGGAGCATGAGCTAAGAATTGAAGTTATAGTTTGTCATATCCTGTGAGTGAAGGAGGCATCATTTTATTTATTTGTAAAGTATCTGTCAAGACGTGTTCTGTAGTGTGTGTGTGTGTGTCAAACTTTTTATTAGCCTGAGGCTCGGACACAGTCGGGTTTCTGAACCTTAATTTTTGCATGACGTAGAGATTCTTTGAATGCTTCTTGTGCTTTCCATTCTCCCTTTTTTCCGAAGCATGCTGTTCATTTCCATGACTTAATGGTTTCTTTGCACTCCAACATTAAACTCAGCAGCTGGAAGGGCATGTGTATTGATTTACCTCTGTTCTGCCTGCAAAGAAGGGAGCACTGACTGCTGCAGATTATTAATAAGACACTAATCTCTTCATTTACTCTTCAGTTCTTTCCCAGATAAACACTTGGACAATACCAGTCTAATCCCTGACTTTAATCAGCACATTCCCCTTCCTGAAGCTGAGTGTGGTCACTTTCTAACTCCGCCAAACCATATTTCATGTAATGCTGGCCTAACCTTAACAATCTAACCATGCAAATATCCATCTGTTGCAGGCTGCGCCCTCTGACCCCGACTCTGACGGGGTGGCTCTAGGTCACCGGTCTAAGTTTCCCATCCCTAACATCCCCTCCACCCTGGACAAGCAGACTAACTGGTCTAAAGCTCTGCCGCTGCCCACTCCAGAAGAGAGAATGAAAAGCAATTCCCAAGTCATCACCTCATGTGTCATCCCCATTAATGTGACCGGTAAATTGAAATCACTGAATCTGATTGTTGTGACTAAACTAAGGTGTGGTGTGCAGTTGTCAGCAGTTGTAGCCACCTTTCTGGCTTTTTCCTTTAGTGTTAAATAGGAATATTGATACCACTCGGACAACAAAGCAACAGCCAACTTATATTAAGTTTAGAATAAAGACTGGAAACAAGGAGCCAGCTTGCTTGACTTTGGAAGGTGACAAAGCAAAGACGCACAGCGTAGAGGCAGCTCTGAAACATTGTAATTACAGCTCATATAATGTATTTTCAAATCTTTACAAAACCTTAAGTGTTTAAAAATCATTTTGTGATTTTCGGCATGCTATAAAGGAAATTTAATGCACCAGTCTTGCCATAAAAGTGTAAATTTACATTTTTCCTTTGCTCAAAATAAAAAAAAAGTGATATAGAGATTTCATTAGAAATAGAAAGAGTTGCTGGTAGTTTGATTTATATACATTTTAGCAAAGCCAAGCTTATTGTTTAATCTTTGTTTTCAGTCATGCTAAAATAAGCAAATCACCCCCTTTTTCAGGCTAATTATCCATTATAGCAGAAGTTCTACATGCTGACCTTCCTATGTACCCATATTCATTATAGGTCATGGGGGTGGTTGATTTGTACATAGTGCTAAGCTAGCTCTTTCCCTCTGTTTCTTCTGATTGCTAGAGCTGGCAAGCTAAACTATTACTTTCCCATAGCTATATTTTTAGAGTAGCGACACAACTTGCTAACACTCAGTAAAAAAAAAAGAAAGAAGGTATTTTAATATTTTTTACTTCTACCACAAGTTAGTGATTTACTAATTACTAATTAGCTAATCTAGTTAAAAGTTAGCAAAACTATTAACCTGACTGAAAGTAATGGAGCTGAAAAGCAGTAGTTAATAATGTAAACATATGGGTAGCTGTTATATTTTTAGATAACACTTATAAATTAGCACCAAAAAAAAGATTAATTGTTCAGCATAATTTATAAAAATTGGTAAATTCTAGTAAATTACAAGTAGTAAGCCCTAACAGTCAAATTGTTAGCAAATAGCTATAATCATTTTTAGCTAAATGGATTAACAGCTGAAAATATTAGATAATGCTATCCAAAAAAAAGAAAAAAAAGATATTAGTTTAATATGTTGGCCATTTGGTTGGTGAGCAGTTCAACCTAAAGTTGTTATTTAAAAGGTGTTGTCTACATGTATATGAAAACAGTAGTAAATAGTAACAAAGTGCAGAATTGCTAGCTAACACTACAAACAAAAATAGAAACTAAACTGTTGAAACAGACTAGCATGTTAACATTAGTAACAAACACTTGTGAATTATTTACTCAAGGTATTCCTAGATGGTAAAGTATAAGCTAAATTTATGGATTAACAGTTAAAACTGTTAACTAATGCTACTAACAACATTGTAAGCTAGGTTAATGGATAAACAGGACAGTATTTTGCTAAAAACTGTGATTAAACATTTAAAAAAATTATTTACTAAAAGTATATTAAACTGTTTAAAAAACTAAAAACAAATTGAAAATTAAAAGGGAGATAAAGTTAACTATATGTGCTCATTTGAACGTGAAAGGTGTGGTGAATGTTTCTGTATCTGTCTAATAAGAATTTTGGGACAACGACAAATGAACAATGTTTGGTTTTGGCTCTTCCTCATGATACTAAAATTTTTGTTCATTGTCTAATTTGCTTGAAACAATGAAGTACCTGGAGGATATAAGGAAGTGTTGCAGTTCAATCGCTACTAAACAAGCCACAATTAATGTTGCTCCAGTCACTCTCAATGTGCAAGTCATGCTTTGTGCCCAGTTAACTTTGTTTCTCATCCTTTGACGCTTTGTGCCTGCTGTTGCAAAGAGCCGGGATGCAGTGACATGAATGCTGATTAGTTCTGTCCAGATTGTTGAAAAGGGCAGCCTGACGTTATTTACTCTCGCTCATTTTCACTCAAAAGGAGAGCTGTACAACAACACCGGCCGAGTCAGAGACAGTGGAGGGTAAAAAATGCACATTGTAAGCAAAGCACAGCAATCGCTATGGAGCTGAAAGCTCTGACCTGCAATCACATGACAGTAAATCATATAGAGAAGGAAAGCAGAACCCTGCACATCAAGAGTTCTCTTATGTGTACAAAACCCATCATCAGTACCATTTGTTTTCTGTCCTTTTCCAAAGTTTCTTACAATTACTGCTTTGTCATTACATTAAGCAGTAAATAACTTACTACTTTGAGTTCTGTCAGATCTCTTTGCTCCACTCCTCACTGCTATTTTTGTGCAACACCTAAATTTGGTACGGCCGAGCGTCACCTTAAATGTTTCTTTATGTGACAGCGTGAGAGTTAAAGAAGGAATCTCTGCAGTCGCCACCAAACAAAGATTCCTCAGATGTGCTGTCTCCATTGCAGGGGTTGGCTTTGACAGAGATGCTAGTGTGCGTTGCTCGCTCGTTCACTCGCAGTCTTTGCTTCAGAGGAGACGGAAGCTGAGGAGACGGAGGACTGTTGCCGGCGTTCCGAGACAGGTGCAACGAGACTTAGGTATGTTCCTTTAACTGACACATGCGATATATAAAATCTTGATTCAGTTTCGTTTTTCCTCTATTGTTTTATGTAGTTACTAGAACTAATTAAGTGTATAGTGAGTGCACAAGCGCATATGTTACAATTATAAGGTATTTTTGAAGGGCATTTAAAGAAAACGTCCATCCTAAAACCAAATTCACATTGGCCAGTAATTTTTTTAAACTCAAATAATTACTAAAATACTATCTGATTTTCACTCTGGACTACTTTGACTATTGTTTGAATTATCCTGAAATAAATCCAAACTGCTCCTAAATTACTGTGCATAGTTGTGGTAGGCTTGTCACATGCTTGCTTTGCTTGATTTTACCTAGTTGACCATGTTAGCATTTATTTTTCACAACCTTTTCATAGTTGTGGGGTTTAAATGTTTCTCATGTTTGCTGAATGGCCACACAATTGGCCTAGTATCTGGTATTAAGTAGGATGGGGGTTTTTTTTTTTGCATTTTTGCATTTACTTGTGGCTGGCAAACAACTTCCCCTGACTTAAAAAATACCAGAAGCTTATAATAAGAGGGAAAATGTTTATTTTAAGACAAGATTTTCTTAGACAGCACGATACCTACCTACTACACATTTATTCATCACTGTTGTTTTGGACTGAGTTAGTACCCAATTCAGACTTGTATGTATTCTATTGAATACAGTGGTGCTCCAAAAAATACATTTAAAGAACTTCATATGGGTACTGTTTTCTTTCTACCAAACTACAGCTACCAAATGTAACTGTGTATTAAGAATTGTGCATCTATCAGTGTTGCAAACTGTATTTAGTGGTTAACTATCCCTATAATATTTTCATTGGACCATCAACAGCAGAAATGATGGAAAATAAGATGGGAAGATGCAACGTGCCGGTTGGAACTCCCCCACCCCACTCGTACTGCTCATTCCCAGCTCCATATTAGTTTTCTTGGACCACGCTTAGAGTAGCTTTGCATGATTCGCAGTTCAAAATAATGCTTGTTTATGTTTTTCTGGGCCTTAATGCAGGCCGTCCTGTTCAAAACAAGTTGTACAGGTCCTCCCACTGTATGGCTGAAATTATCATATTTGGCATATCCCTTCTCAGTGACATCATCACAAACCAAGAATAGAAAAACTGCCTGAAAGAGTATTTCAAGCATGTTTGACTCACAAGGATTACTTCTACATATATACTTGATGTTCTTATTTGAAACTTTGGCCATGTGTGATTTGAGCATCCACAATTATAGCAGTTTATATATGACATAACATAAAGACAAGCATTACAACAGACACAAGTCCCTTGCAGTTTCTCTCAGGAAGGGCAAAAGTGTAAAGATCTGCCAAATCAAACGTGCAACCACCTCCTGTGGTAACACTTTGTGACAAGTGGAGCCCCTGAAAGTATTTTTTTATAACAGGTTACCTTTAAATACATGAAGAAAGACATTTGAATTTCTTATTCTTGTATTTTGTGTGCGTCTTGCTTCTCACAGATTCTGATGACTCTCCTGGCTCCAGAGAGCGGACAGTGATAGTTCACGCCAGTGCAGATATCACCCCTTCCAGCCAGGAGTTTGGCAGCCATCTCAACACCAGAGACTCCGGTTGTCAGACAGAAGACTTTTTGATCTCAGGAGCACCATCTCGAAGGAGGATCAGGCTCCAGAGAGGCCCGGGAGTCTCCCTCTCCCTCTCACATTCTGCAGGAAACATCTCCTCCCTCCCTGAGACCTCGGACGCCATGTTCAGTGCCTCCGTTGGAGCACACCTGCGTTCTCGGAGTCTGCCCCGAGACACCAGCCGAATGTTGGACAACGGACATAACGACAGCGACGATGAGGAGGACCTTTCCCCCTTCGACACTGAGGCGTTTCTGACTGGATCTAGGAAGTTGACTCTGAAGGATGAAGAGGAGAGTACTGATGACCAGGCCATGTCTGAACACCAGCTAGGAAGCCTTAAGTACAAGCAGCTGTCACAGAGTCCGGAGCGCAGCTGGATGGAACGGACCAGATCTCACCTGCCTAGAAAAGCTGACATGGGCAGCTGTGAGATCTCATCTAGCTCAGACACCTTCAGCAGCCCTATGCACTCCGTCTCTGCTGCAGCAGTGCTGGGAGGCCAGATAGACCATAAGGAGGACCACCAGTCCTCCAGTGGGAACTGGAGCGGGAGCAGTTCCACATGCCCCTCCCAGACATCAGAAACAATCCCTCCTGCCGCATCTCCACCTCTGACCGGCTCCTCCCACTGTGACTCTGAGCTCTCTTTAAACGCTGCCACTCATACTAACGATGACCAGACAGGCTTCTTGCTGGACCACTATCAGGGCCTCAGGACCCAAAGAGCAGGCTCCTTCTCCTCCACAGCTATGGACATATTAGAAGAAGTTGGTGTCAGCAATGCCATCGAGGGGGAGTGGAGTTACCCCAATCCAGAGCCTTTGGGGTCACAGGGCTTCAGCCCCGAGCCAAGCAGAGAGGCTGAGAGCAGTCTGGGCTGCCCCAGTTTCACCAGTATGGCTACCTGTGAGAGCAGCTTCTCCGACAAACCACCGTCAGAGAAAGCAGACACCGTCTCGCACTACTCTGTGGACAACGAAGGTTACTACACCTCCATGCACTTTGACTGCGGCCTGAAAGGTAGCCAAAGCTTCACTTACAATAACTATGCAGCCTCAGGCACTGACTGTGGCCTGTCAGACTCAAGTGGTCACATGACACTGGGAAGACGCTGCCTCTCCTTAAAAAAACCAAAGGTGAAGCCATCGCCACCTAAGAGGAGCTCCTCCTTAAGGAAAATATGCAGTGAGGGAAACATCCCTATTAAGAAAGAACCAAAGATTACATGTGGGCAGCAACTTCATCTGTCTGCAAAGGAGAGAAAACTGCAGCTGGCTTTTTCTGGCTCTCTGGCTCACACTGAAAACTCCTCACTGGTCAGAGAAACCCGGGTAGGCTGGGGGGTTGAGGGCTCAGCTGATCTACCCGACTTAGTCTCCACAGATACACATTCATTTAAGGATGAGGGGGTTTTGCAGTCAGACTATGCAGATCTGTGGCTCCTGAATGATTTGAAATCCACAGATCCTTACCGATCGTTGTCAAACTCCAGCACAGCTACAGGTACGACGGTTATTGAATGCATCAAGTCACAGGATAGCTCAGAGTCGCAGACGTCCCAGTCTGGCTCCAGAGCTACCACCCCTTCACTTCCATCAGTCGAGGGAGATTTCAAGCTCACATCCCCAGAGAAGCTGGCAGGCCTGGCAAGCCCATCCAGTGGCTACTCCAGTCAATCAGAAACACCCACCTCCTCATTTCCCTCTACCTTTTTCCCTGGGCCACTGTCTCCATCAAGTGGTAAAAGGAAGCCCAAAGTCCCAGAGAGGAAGTCCTCTCTCTCATCACTGTCACTTCAGTCACTGTCCTCTAGGGATGGTGCAACCTCAAAGAGGGATCTGGAGCTGCCAATTATCCCTCCCTCTCATCTCGACTTAAGTGCCCTTCATAGCGTCAACAACAAGGCGACAGCTTACAAGACCCAGATGCAAATCCTTCACCAAAACAAACAAAAAGCAGCAGTGTCAGCCAAGCCTATAGTACCTCACAACCCAGAGGTATTCAACGCCCATTGCCTGTCCATTACACCCACGGTGCTGAACTCAGTACACCTCCGATCGATCAGTAAGGAGCAGCACGAAAATCACACCACTTCCAAATTCCAATATCCCACTGTGAACTCACCTAGCAAACTTTCCACTAGTAAATCTTTAGAGCTTAAGAGTCCCGCACTGTACAACTCACACCACCATCATCTTCACCCATCCTCAAAGGAGTCAGGTGTGTTTACCTCAAATGAAGAGCTTACAAGTGGAAGGTCAGCATGTGAGACTGAGACGAGGAACGAGCCGGAGCGAGAGGCTCCTGCAAAGTGCGTGACAACAGTCAGGCTCCAGTCAGACTCATGTTTGGACCAGAAAGGTCCAGAAGTCCCCGAACAAACCAGAAGTCAAGAAAGAGAGACCTGTAGAGAGCTGCCAGAAACACCTGCCTGCCTCGGAGACTTCAGCTCACAGTCTGAGACTTTACAGCAACAGCACTCTGAAGAAGAAGAAGCGTATCCTCCTCCTCCTCCTGTCCTACACAGTTCCCCCAATAGACCCAGCAGTCAGGATAAAGTGCCTGCTACTGACAGTCAGTCGGAGACGCTGCAAAGCAGTCCAATCAGCAATGAAGACAGCAAAGAAATGGATTCATTGGGAGAGTCATCCAAATGTATCTCACAGGAAAGCAAGGAGTCCATGCCAGACATGGAGGACTATTTTAGTAAAGGTAATGACTTAATGTCCTTGTGATCCCCTCCCTCAACCCCAGTTTGTACTCAATGCAACTCTCTGCTCTGCACCTTTTTCCCCTGCTTTTTGCCTCTGTAATGTCTGTTGCAGTCATTAGCACTGCCACAGCAATAAGGTCTGTCATCTCTGTGTAGAGTTTGCATGTTTTCTGTGTGCCTGTCTGGACTTCCTCCTGTGACACAAAGCTGTGTGTGTGTTTGGGTAACTAGTGATTCTGAATTACCTGTAGGTTTGAATGTGAGACTGTGTGGTTATCTGGCTCTCTCTGCTCCTGTGAGGGACTGGCAACCTGCTCAGGGTGATATGATGTACCCTTCATTTTGCTCTGTGACTGCTAGGGTAGACTGCAGCCCCTCTGAGACTGTAAGCTGGATAAACATTTAATAAAATGGGTGGATGGAGGTCAATTCTGCCTGTTTTTGTCCCTAAGTTCTTCCAATTGTGGGAATATTCTCTGAAATAGGATTTATGGCTCAAAAAATTGCTGACCCCTGTAAAGGATCATAGAGCTTGTTAATTGTGAATAAAAGTTCTAGGATGGAGGTGCAAGATAAATTTTAAGGGTGCGGAAACAATCTTTTTTTTATGTATGTAAACTGAATCTCTTCTGTAATTTTACTTATACAAAAGCTGCTGAAACTTGATATATCTAATAATTGAATGAGCTTTTTGAACAGAACAAATTATGAAAAATTGCTAAATGGTTGGTTAGTGTGGAATATACAGGATGCAGTATATTCATATGTGTGAAATGTTCCTGTTAACAGACTCCACTCTCAGTGACAGCACTCTGTCCTCAGTGCATGATGAGTCAAGGCCAGAGGATGACACCGTGTTTCTGTCCCCCACTAAATCTCGCACCACTGAGGATTTATTCGCTATGATACACAGGTTAGTATCTTAGATAGACAGGATTTTGCTTGTGTATACTCAAAATGTACAGAAATTCTTTAATCAATGTGGTCTTCTTCAGGTCTAAAAGGAAAGTGTTGGGGAGAAAAGACTCCGCCGAGTTGGGTGTGAGGAATCGCCTTGGTGGCGCTTCGGGGAACACGCCACCTAACAGCACTGCAAGCTCCCCTATCTCTGTGGCATCACCTTCCTCCGCTGTGACCCCACCTGGCCTGCACAGAGTCCCCGGTCCAATCTACAGGAATGCAAAAAAGTCCAGCACCTCCAACGAGGAGTTCAAACTACTGCTGCTTAAAAAAGGAAGCCGCTCCGACACTAGTTACCGCATGTCAGCTACAGAGATCCTCAAGAGTCCCATCACCCCTAAATCACTTGGAGACACTCTAATGGAGTCACCCAGACACCCCGACGACAACACCTTCCCTCAGCAGCAGCCCCAATCAGGACAAGACCAGCTTTCCAGCCCCTACTTGAAAACCAACGCAGAGGGCTTTTCACCGAAATCCTTCCATACATCTGCGGCCTCAAGGCAGGGACGCTCCAGGATCCCACCACCTGCCAACAGCAGCCGCTACAGCATGCGCAGCAGGCTGTACTCAACGCCCATGCAGGCCATCTCTGAGGGTGAGACAGAGAACTCGGATGGGAGCCCTCATGACGACCACTCATCGCAGGGCTCCACATAAAAAAAGAAGAAGCAATAATTAAGTGATTTTATTAGTTTACAGCAAACAGACAAACAAAAAAAGATGGACCAGAATGAGGAGAGAAGGAGAGAAAATTAGATGAACGTGAACATTTTTTAAAGAAAATCATAAATTTAGTAATTGATGGTGTTTTATACAGACTGCATTTCTACGAAAACATCTTTATGAAGTGAACAGTTGGCTCTTGTTTTGCGTCTGCATTATATGGAAAAATATGATTTACAAACCAGAAAATCTTCTCACTTCTAAATTTAAACGGGGACCTATTTTTCTTTTCTTTATTTTCTATCATATGTGTATGGAATTTCGACTTATTAACTCTAACTTTAGAGTTAGCTTTGCCAATCAGTAATCTACGTGAATGACGTCATTTTCTTGTTAACCGGAAGGATATGGCGCAGAGGAATGCGGACTCAAAACCGGATCGCAACAAACTGGCGCTTTCGGGAGTACGTTTGCTGATAGTAACGCCATGTGATTCAGCTAATAACACAAGGATTTCATCATTTGTGAAGCCATGCTGAAAATACTCAGCAATTTGTGCATTCATGACTGGCTCTAATACCGGTAGCTTAGCAGTAGCATTTGTAGCTGAGGACTTCAGCTTCCAGGTAACAAGGAAATGACATTCACGTACATTACTGATTGGCAGCGCAACTCGAAATTTCGAGTTACTAACTCAAAATTTTAAGAAAAGTAAGTCAAAATGTTAAGTTACTTTTTGAGAAAGATAACTCGAAATTTGGAGTTATGAATACTTTTTTTTTTTGTGGCGGAAACGGGCTTCCATATATATGTGATGCTCATAGCAACACATGGCCAGAGTTCAAGGTATAATAATGAGGTCAGTGCACCTAAAAGTAATCTTTTTTGACCTAAAACTCTGTCAGAATTAATGGAGATCCCCAGTATGGTCAGAGGCGGTACCATCCCATATAAAATAAGCATTGTTATGAACTGTGAATCACTCTAAGCTACTCTAGAGTCTGCAAATAAAAGTATGGAGCTGGAAATGAGATTAATAGCTGTTCTGTTAGTTTAAGGCACATTTCCCAAAGTCTTGTAGACCCAACCCAACAACGTAATGTTTTTAGAAATAAGCAAGAGAAGTTGATCTGTTTTAATTAACCGTATGTATTCTGTGAATACAATTAGACAGACATTTCCTCTAACCAGTTACATCGAATGATTTTAATACCCTCAAAATGAACATCAGAATTGACAAATGTCAACATTCAGTCCCTATTCATATTTCCTGTAAACAGAATTGATACTATGTCTATTTTACTCAGTTTGTCATATACTAAATTATATCAAAGCTTATTATTAGAATATTTTAACATACTGTACATATAGCAAGAAATGGAAGACGTAATTATTGGTGAGACAGGAAGTGTCAAAGCCGAGCACTAACTTGACAATCTCGTGAGACAAGAAAGGAGCAGGTGTTAACATGGGACATGAAAAAGTGATCAAAAAGTTCGAGGCAGGGAACTCGGAGAGCTGGAAGAGAATGCTGAAGTCATAAAGAAAAACTTACCAATGGTCATTTCTGGTTTGCTGACATGATGTGTTTATGCATTGTCGAAAGAGGCAAGTGGAAAGTACTCAGAGGATCAAATATGCCTTATTTTATCCAACAGGAGAAAATATGTGGTGAAGCAGCTGAGGTCACAGCAAGTTGAGTGTTTTTGTGAGATTTTTGATTGTATGGTTAAATATGGAGCCGGGTTATTAAGTCTCTTGAAAAGAGAAATGTCTGGATTTGGCATTTTCTGCCCCTCAATATTCAAAAAAAATATAACTTCTATATTTTCTGTCTCAAACCAATCTAAATATATTTATTTTTATAACATACACAAAAAACCTTTGATCAAAAATATGCAATGAAGTGCTGGAATTTTTATTTTTTATTCACATACTTATTTTGTTCATAAGAGATGCGTTTTAGATCTTATACGAGACACTGGTTGCAGAGACAAATTGGAAACTTAATTATAAAATTTCATTAAAAATGTAATTAAACGCCAAAAATATAAATGTAAGGTTTTGGTTGTAACCCTGGTATATTTTAGTCCCATGTATTCACCATAATTTTATAAGTACATGGAGCTTATTGGAGTGACGGTACTCAAACATTATGCAAAACTGGCAGAAGCCTTGTTCTTCCCTGTAGGTATGCTGTCAATACCCTTTTAATTTTCATATTAATAACACTATATAACAGGGTACACAATGAGTTAAGTCTGTGAACCTTCATTCCAACTTTTTTGTTTTTTTCCTGCACTGACAAAATGATGTTTGTGAAGTTTTTTGTCTCTTGCTGTACCTGGAGATATTTATAGATGTGTACATGCAGCTGTTTCCCTTAATAATATTCACACCCCGAGGATGCTTTAGGAGTGGAGTACAGAAATGCTTCTACCAAAGGCTAAAAACACGTAGTGGCATTGAACTGTTGTTCTCCTCTCGTTTACTTGACTGAAATGTTCTTGAAAACACAAACCAATAATAAAGAACTAAACTTACGGTACTAGATGCATTTCATCTAGATACAGACCAACCTCTGTATACAGTACTTGTAGGTTTTAGTGGGTTTTTTTGTACAAACTTGTAAATTAAATAACGTTTTAGAATTGTTACAAAGGTTGTTGAATTGCTTCTTATGTAAAATAAAAAAAAAACATGTTTTTAAAGTTTACATTAATTTCAGACCTTTGTATATTTTTGAGCTGTGGAACACTTTGTCTTGTATTTATTTTTTAGTAAGCGTTCTTGAAATCCCATAGTAAATCCTATCAAAGCCAACTGCTAGCACAACAGGCTGCTTAGCAAATGTGTATAAAAAGATGAATAAATGTGACTGCTTTGAAAATGTCTCATGGTATCTTTAATTTCTGGCTACTTCAGATCAAAATACCAACCTTTCTTCACGTGTTGCACTCTTACAACACAGCCTGTCTGATAGACTCACGAGCCCCTTCGTCATTAATACATCATGTTGAGATATTTTTATAACACATTTCTATTCGACTTTGCATTTAGTCATTATATTCAGCTTACTATTTAGATATAGTTACCTACTCTTTGTATGTTTAATCCCTGTTTATCCATACCGTTAGTTACTTACAGTATATCATAAAAGTGAGTACACCAGTCCGTGAGTTGTTTGGTACCGGGCCGCAAGAGTTGAGGCTCGGGTGTGAAATTTATGTTTTTCAGTGTTTTTATTGTTATTTTTTTACAGTTTTTATCATTAACTCGGTTTCTCAGGGTCTTTTCCTGTGTGTTATGAATAAATGTTTTTATTTTTTTTGTACCGGTACTGGTTTTATTTTGTTCTATTTATCCGTGACACCTTAAAGGCCTGGCCGTGAAAATATTGTCGGACATAAACCGGTCCATGACGCACAAAAGGTTTGCTGGTATTTTTGAAAACTTTTATTTTTAGTCAAATGTTTATCTTGCTATTTATGTCAAACATTAATCTATACTGTCAGCAATTTCTGCCATACACACCTATAGAAGTCACACATACACCTAAAATATAT